TACAGCTGTGTCTTTGTTAAGATGGCACAACCATCATGTCACCTGTTTCCTTCAACAAATATGCACACTAATCTACACAAGCAAACTGTAAACATATTGGTTACAGATACTGAGCTAAAGAAATCCTTCCCTGAGCTGCCTTATATTCAACCTGCTTCAGAATCAGGTAACAGAATCAGACCTTGAACTGCAAGTCACCCACCCTTCTGCATAATCACCTGTACAATTCAACCCGTGCTTCTCAATCTCATCTCCAGCAGAGATTATCTGGGATCCATTCAGAGATGGTATTCAGCAGGTTCTGACCAGTTCTGGAGAAACGGTAGCAGAAATTATGAGAAGTGTGGAGAAACGGTAGTGGAAATTTTGAGTAGTTCGGAGAACCGGTAGCGGAAATTTTGAATAGTTTGGAGAACCAGTAGCAGAAATTTTGAGTAGTTCAGAGAACCGGCAAATAACACCTCTGACTAGCCCCACCCCCATCTATTCTCTGCCTCCTGAGTCCCAGCTGATTGGCTGGATTTTCTTTGGTTGCCCTGCACTGGAGAATGGAGATGGAAAGCAGATTTAGTTGGGTAGGGAGGGAATGGAGATTCTACAGTATCCTTCCCCTTCCACGCCCACCAAGCCATGCCCACCAAGCCATGCCACACCCACCAAGCCACACCCACAGAACCGGTAGTAAAAAAATTTAAATCCCACCACTGGATCCATTCCTACCTTCAGTGGGCTCTCAGCAATATATCTCACACCCTCAGAGTCTCGTGTGCTGCCTTCAGTCACTGGACACCTTACTGTGCAGGGTTCTCCCAAAATAAAAACTTCCCTGACCAAATTAAAATTCCTCCGAGCATACCTTCAAATGGGTTTGGAATCGGAGAAGGAAAAGGGAGGTGAAACTACAATCCTGCAAAGCGGGAGGGGCAGATTGTGAGTGATTGGACCACCTCTCCTCTCAGGCCTCTGCTCCGAGTCACGACACTCAACTACTGTAGCCAGAACCTGGCTCACCCAAAGCAACGAAATCATTTTGAAGACACAGCATAATTTCATCTCCATGCCATCAATAATACGGTGCCTACTGGACTCCCAACAAAGCTTTGACACTTTGCTGAGCGGCCATGAGCAGCAGCTGAACCTGGGCTTGTAAATGTTTGGCATCTTACATTGCAAAGGCAAGACAAAGAAAGAGGCAGATATAGTGGAAATTAAAGCATGATATAAGAATACTTAGATAAACCTATACATGTGACCTTATAATATATTTATGCCTTCCTACTTCAGCATGCTTCCGTACTATCTTTGAGACATGGTCAGTGAATTTGGTTTACTGGACCTTAGATTCATGACTGACCCTGTTTCACTCAGGATCAGTTCAGCTTGTTGTGAAACTTTTCTTACAAAGGTATTTTAAGCAGTCTATAATCTTTGGAGGGGAGAGCCCATCTTGGACGTTTGGTACATGTGTATGGGGGGGGATACCATTTACCACCACAGTATATTGAAATTTAATTTTTCAAACATGAACATAGTTATGCTTTACGTGGAAGTAGAGTGAAGGATTTTAAATGATATACAAAAATTAGCAAAAAAAACCTAGGATAGATAGTCATATTGGTGTTTATTAGCAGAATGCTTACTCCAAATGGGGGGAAAAATGGGTGGATAGGATTAGGGATGAATGAGTGCTCAACAAATGTGAAAAGGTAAGCAGCCAGCATGAAATAAATTCATGTGGGTTGGTCATATGAGAGTTGAATTTCAAAATAAATACGTAAAAGAAACAGCAGAGTCAAAAATCAGAGAAAGGCTGGAAAGTTCTGATAGGAATCGAGGTGATAATTTCCTGAGAAAGAGATGTAAGCTCAACACAGAGTGATGCCAAAATAGTGTTTGAATAAGGCGGAAGAAGAAAAAGCTGTGGAACAATATGCAAATAAGTCTCCATGTGTGAATAGCTGTAGATATACCTGTGGAGATTCTCAATCATCCAGGTCATGTTTGTCCCAAAGGTGTTTTTCCAAAAGGTAATTGGATGTGCTTGTGGGTTTTTTTTCTTTCTTTGAAAACATTTCTCTTTTCATCCAAGAAGCTTCTTCAGTGACTGAAGAAGTTTTTTGGATGAGAAGCAAAAAAAAAAAAAAAACATTTTCAAAGAAAAAAAAAGTCCGGTTGCCTTTTGGAAAAGCTCCTTTGGGCTAGCTATTTTTTCTTATCTTGTATCTTTGATTTCTTTGCCTTGCTATTTCTTAGTTTCTTTTTATGCTTTGCATAACATTTTCAGCCTGAAGGAAAATATGTGTACGGACATGTACTGTATGTATATTATCAAGTCCTTTCTGAATTGTAGCTAGAAACTGATGTGCGAAAAGCATATGCTCTCAGGGCTTTTCTAAACACACACACAGCTGCCCTGTTTATGCTGAAGGTGTTGTGGCTTGTGCTTTATTTCTCCATGAAGACAAAAATGTGACACTTAAGCTGGTATCTTGCAAAGCTGATATCGTGCATGATTCTTAAAGCGTCAAGGAGGTTTTGTACTGTCTTACTGTCAAGCTGTGAGTCTCTCTCTGTGTGTTTCTCTATGTGTGTATACAATTCAGGTAGCATACAGGCCGGACCTTTGGGGGTGATTTGTGAATATAGTCCTCAAAGTAACAGGAAGAAAAATAGAATGCTGTTTTACCAAAATGTCATGTACTGTATTTTTCTATTTCTACTGATACTAAACTGTTTCTTCATTAAAAATTAATGTCCTGCCTTTTTCCCCCCCCTAATGCATTTTCGAAAATATATAATGCATTAAAGAAAGCATCCATCCACTTAGGCCCACTGCAATAGAAGATACTGGTGGTGGTATAGCAGATCAATTTTCTGTGACAGCTGGTTCTGTGCAGTTACTCCTGTCCTCCTGATAATTTATCTTTTCCGAAGACAAGATTGGTGCGCTTTCCTCAGTTTATAGGGTTGAAGGCTGATATGTTCCTGGAAATGGAATTGGCATGGTGTAGCTTTAATATTTAAAATGTAATATCTGAACAATATATAATTTACCCTCAAGCCTTTCTATGAAATCAAATGGAGAACTAAAACCTCCTTCTTCCCATTAAAACATTTGCAGTCTTTAATGCATAAAATATATATTGGCTTTTATTTAATACTAAACAGAATTGCTTCCCTTAAAATAATAATAAAAAACATCGATATCTAATACTGTGTTCTCTGTCTTTGTTGATAGATGATTTTCCACAGAGAGTGAGCTAACAATTGAAGAGTTATTTTCATAGTTTCTTTTGCCATCCTGTAGTACTAAGCATGAACATCCTTAAGATTCTCCTTTGTGCCTTTACCTATAATCTTCCATGTGTGAGCCAGTTGTAAGGCAAATAGAAATGAAGAGAATAATGGTTAAAGGTTGAGATAGACATGACATCAAGATAGTTTGGAGCCAAATTCTCTTAATACCTCCAAATGGTTGTTTATTGAATCCATAACTGGTGTGGGCAACTTTTTAGAGACTAGGGGCAACACTTTGAAGGTAGGGTCTTGGCAGCATTTTGCAGCAATTTTTTTTTTTAAAGATCAAATATCGGAATAACAAAGGCTCTAATAAAAGCTCTGCTCTCACAATTGGCATATAAATGGCATCCATGCTAATGGTATTGTTAAGGACTTTAAAAATATAGGTAGGAAGAAACAAAGAAAATATATAATTGTTGAGCTCAAGTTCAATGCATATTTGGGTGGCAATAATTTTGTTCTGGCTGCAGTAAAATTATGCAGGATTATGAGGTGAGCCTTTTATCCTGTGGATTACAGTCTGGTACTTACATTAATAATAATACAAGACGCTTTAGCTAATTGAATCCAAGTCTTAAGAATTAAGCTTCGCATTCCCCAGATTGCATCAAATTTACCTCCACTTTTGGAACCTACCTTTCCCCTTGCCCCCCTTAGGGAAACATGCGAAGTCTTGCAAATTAAAGTACTGACTGAAATTAATCTTTTTAGAAGGAACATTGGCCCACCTAATCCTAGATGATAAAATTGTTTCATCTCAAAAGAAAGGCCTTATATTGTTGTGGTGTCTAATCCCAGTTCTTGGTGATCCTGGGATTTGAGAGAGCCACCTTCGAGATAAAGGGTTGAATCTTTGACCAGAGGAATAAAAGTAAGCTGATTATTATTACAATGGTGGCTTCTGTTGTTCAGTTTTAACATCTAGCCACTGTAATGACTTCCTCTTTGTCTCGAATCAAAGAACTTTCTAACTGGATAGTCTTAGTTGTCTGCCATCCTTGGTTCTAGAGAGAATATTTAATAATATTTCATCTGAAGGTTCCCAGCACCCACCAATGAAGCAGTTGAGACAAGTGCTGCATACAGTCTATGTTTCCTCTGCATTGAGTCTGAATTAATAAGTCTCTTGCTAGCTCACTTTTTAGCTCATCCAGAAGAATGGAATGCTTTCTTTTTGCTATGGATAGAACTCCAGACATATATAAATAAATAAATAAGTTGGCCTGTTTTATGCACCTGATAATGCTGTAAGAGTGCTCTGTTGGAACACCGGAAATATTTATTTGTTATTTTATTCCTGTTTAGACCTACTTTATTATTCATTGTATTAATTGTCTGATTCTTGTACTCTTCATTTGCTTTTATTTCTATTGGATTTTGCCTTTCATTGTATATAAACTAATAGGAATAAGTATTTTTGCCTATTGTAATTCCTACACTTCCCAAGCAATCTTTGTTACAGATGTTTCTGAAGGCCAGAGGGTTAAAGAAAGTAACTATATAAATTAAAAAAAAAAAGAGTCCTAGTTGTTGAAGGTTTTATCAGACTTAGGGCCCGATTGAGTTCCCACACTTCTGTTTTCCTGTCCTTTTTCCTTCTCATAAATGATTGTAGATGCTTTTACCTTTTATTGGGCTGTTGAACTGTAAAGCATATTGATTGATTTCCCTTTTGTTCACGGTCCCCTATTCTTTTCCAGGGTAATTCAAACGGCATTGCTTCTGTGGATGTTACAGCTGGCTTTGTTGGACTAAACGACTACGTAGAAATTCCTGCCATTTTTCTTACTGCGCTTGCAACATACTCTGGGCCTCTGCTGTGGGCCATTCATTTGCTGTGTTATTTGAGTTCTGAAGTGGACAGGTAAACTTTTTATGCCATTGTTTTATCTATCTATCTATCTATCTATCTATCTATCTATCTATCTATTCATTCATACAGCTGCCTCTCTTAAGCAAGATAATCCTAGATGGCTCTCAGTAGCATTAAATAGAAGTACCTTCTTTCATTCTTAGTGGACATGCCCCAAAGCGAAAAAAATACCAGAAAATAATTCAAACGTGGTTAGAAGAGTTAACTAAAAACAAAATTGATTTTGTCCCGGAATTATTCCTCTTAGGAATAATAAAAAAACTATAATACAAAGATAAAATATCTTATATTACATATATTAACAGCAGCAAGAATTTCATATGCTCAATACTGGAAGGAAAACTCTATACCACCTGAAGGCTTAATAAACAAAAAATTTTTAGGGTGTGTGGAAATGGATAAATTAACTATGGAATTAAAAGGGAAAGCAGACACAGAATACAACGCAGTATGGGAAACATGGTTTATTTGGATAGATAATAGATATAAAAATAGAAAATGTAAATAATGTATATAATAAATAAGAGTGTATGAAAGTATTATGCATTGTAAGTTTTGATAGGACACATAAACGTATATATAATGTCACAGTGCTCTTTAATAACTATTGGTATTATGTATAAATGGAAAAAAAATCAATAAAGCATTATTTTAATAAATAAAAAAAATAAAAAAAAATAAAAGCAGAATGAATAAAACTTGCCCAACGCCATGACAACATCATGTTATCCCAAGTGCAATACTGCAACATTACATAGATTCCCCATGCTCTTATATTTGCTGGGCTCACTTTGGCCCTCATGCGAAACCTGGTTGAGGGAGCCAGGTTTCACTACCTACCAAAAGACTAATAGGTCAAGGGCTTACACAGTAAATAGACCGATATATTAAATCCTACCATTTCTGAATGCTGAGAGTTAACAGGTCTGTGTTGCTGTGAGCTGGCCAAGTAAGAGGTGCCTTAAAAGATAGGTTGTTACATGCCTGATCTCAACCTCGTTTTGGATGAGATAATAAGTCACAAGAGTCCACTTGGTGCGAGTTGGGCGGCTATACAAGCTTGTTTAATAAAAATAAATAAATCAGTGGCTGGGGGAGAAGAATTGGCAGTAAACAGGAAGACTCTGCCCATTGATTTCTTTTCTTTTTTTAAAGAATCTATCCAGGAAAGACTCTTCCAGACAAATTATTTGAAGACATAGGAATTTGTGTAGAAGAAAATTGGTTGGCTGGGGAATGTTCCTGCTTACTGATTCTCTTCCTTGAAGTGTTTTTTCAGGTCCCTATCTTAGCATTCCAAGTAACTAGCTAAGGAGGAGGACTCAACAGAAGGAATCTGGGGATATTTAAAACTCTCTATCAATTTGCAGAGTCTTTCAAGCACTGGGGCCCAGTTAGCTATTCTATTCCCGTGCCTGTTTTCCTCTGGAAAAGCAGTGGGGAATGAAGATGCTGCAGTTGCAGCAACTATAATTTTTCACATTCAATTCAGATAGATACAGATACGAAGGATTTACAGCTGAATCTAAGTTTGATAATATTGATTGCTGATGTCAAAACTTTCTCATCAAAAATCTTTTGCTTTAAGTTCTTTTATTCGGGGAGGGGAAAAGGTGTGCATATAAACCAAATAAAATTTGGCTATATAGTAAGAGAAAGAAAGAGATTGATTTTATTTCAGCCTGAGACCAGGGATACCTTTACTATGATGAACGAAAGGGGTGTGTACATATACAATTTTTAATATTTTTTAATCTTTGCTCTTGAAGTAGTGCAGTACCAGCCCTATTTATTTGAAGATAATGATGTTCTTCTTCACAGCATGTGGCACAACTGCAGTGCAATCTTACACCTACTTTTCTGATATACTGTATTCAGCAGAATGTGCTGTATTTCTTGAGATTTCCATTTGAGTAGAAAGTGAAGCTATTTACATAATTTATATATGCACTTTCAGCATAAATTTAAATTTCCAGTGCAGCTATCCAACTAGTCAGAAGCAATAAAGGTTCTAAAAGAACATTTTTTTAAAAAAACAACCAAATCCTAATAAGTAACAAAGAAAGCAGTTCTTACTTCATTATATAATGTTTTTCAAAAACTTGCAGATCTGAAAAATCTGAGCAACTATAGGAGTTATGCTTGATGCCTAAATTATCGTAATCACACTATTGGGCAAGTCTTTCTGGGAAGACATTCCATAAAGTGTACTACTAAAACCCAGCTTCACCTGGTGTGTCTAGCTATGCTTTTTCTGGAATTAGAAGATCTTGTGATGGTAACTCATGCTTTCATTGCCATCTGGTTTGACTACTGCAATGCTCTTCACATGGGGCTGCCTTTAAAAACTATCTAAGTCCTCAACTGGTACAGAATATAGCGAACCAGATGCTTGCCAACAGTTATTACTAGGAGCATGATATCTCTAAGGTGTAATGTAAGGTCTACATGGGTTGCCAGTAGCTTTTGGATGAAGTTTAAAGTGCTGGTCTTGACCTATAAGACTCTTTATGGCATGGTGCTAGGCCATCTGTAGAACGACATTTCCTAACTGAAGGAACTATTAAACTATTAAAAATTGCATCGGGAGAAGCAGCTGATCGTTTCCTACAATCAGAGCTGTGGTGGCGCAGTGGTTGGAATGTAGTATTGCAGGCTGATTCTGCCTACTGCCAAGAGTTCAATCCTGATCAGCTCAAGGTTGACTCGGTCTTCCATCTTGCCAAGGTTGGTAAAACGAGGACCCAGATTGTTGGGGGACAATATGCAGACTCTGTAAACCACTTAGATAGTGCTGTAAAGCTCTATGAAGTGGTACATACGTCTAAGTGCTATTGTTATGGTTACTTTCTGGAGGTCAAATTGAGCAATGACATTTTGTGAGACACTAGAAATGTGGTTTATGTGATAGTACCTAGCTGTGGAAAAATAGCCTCTCCCCCGATCTGTTTTACTCCCATTCAATAGATTAGATTAGATTAGATTAGATTAACAGATATTTGCAAATGGTTAAAGACATGATTGTTATCCCAGGCCTTGGGTTAAGAGGGTGATTTAGAATTTTCTTTTGGTGTTCTCATATTATGGAGTTGGTCTTCCAGTAGTTTTATTCCTTTCTTTGCTATATCCTGTTCTAAATTCTCTTTTAACTGTAAACTATCCAAAATTGTTGCGAAGTCAGAATCCCCCTGAAACAAAATTAAATAAATGATAAGGTCCTGGTACAAAAGCTGGACCATATGGAATTCTGTTGAAAAATCCTATAGAATGTACAGGGCTGTCTTTCCCCTTTTGCTTGGCAACCAAAGGCAACTTGTTTTCAGATCCAGGCTACAATCCAGAGTTAAATGTGTAGGATACTTCCACACCAGCAGCATTTTAAATCTCCAGTTCCTTGGAGTTGTCCTCATGCCCTCACTGTTGAGAGTTTAGCCGACATGCCCTTTAACTCTCTATAGCTGGCTAATGGAGCCTGCAAAATCCCTCCCTCTTTTGTTGTTGTCTTACTACAAGGAAGCGAAAGGGCTCCTCAGATCCATCAGCAAAGAAGATAGGAGAACCGGAGCCTTGTTGCCTATAACAACGTCGGGTAAATCAGGGTGAATTCCATTAATGGGAAACTATCCACTGTTCCATAGCTCTGGACAAAACACTGGAATATAGTTTTAAATGATTGCCTCCTCATAGTACCTGAACTGGAAGTTCACACTCAAGACTTCTCCAAGACCAATAGTATCATGGGAATCCAGAATTGGTGCACTTTTTATGCGTGAAAAAAGCCCTGGAGAACCTTGTAAACAACCCTTTGGGTTAGTCATTCTTCTCTCCATATTGCACAAAGTGAATGAGTGGCCTAGAGGAGAAACTATATTGTTTTGGAGGCTTTCTGGTTCACAGTTCAGTCTCGCTCCTATTCTAGCTATATCTACTGGTTTTATTTCCCACTTTCAAAAAACAAGAGTGTTAAGATTTCACTTGAATTACTGCAGATCACAATGGCTCCCTTTTTGCTTATAATACCTGACCAAAAAAAGGAAAACCCTAAGAGTTTTCACTTTATGGCTGATAAGAAATAATTTTTATTTTAGGCTTACAGCAAATTTTTCCTGTTCGTATAGTTCCCATTAAATCCCATGGCTTGTACAACTAGTGACACACAATTTGGTTTACCAAAACCCGTTGGTATTTCATCTTTGCAGACGTATTGGACCGCCTACTGTGCATCAGAAAGATTGCCTATGTGCCTGTAACACTGTTTTTGCATTACAAAACCTGCAGCGTTCTCTTCCCCCTCCTCCAGCCTTTTGTTAAATTTAATAAGCTGTTTTCTGGGCAGTGTGCAATTCCAGTTTTAGCTGCAAAGCCTGCATATGAATGTCCTGCCAGGACGCAGAAGCTGTGGTGTCACAGTCCCATAGCAGCCACCACCATGGAATCATGAAATATTTATTCATGATGGTGTCAGTGCTTCTCATATAGATGAGCATGTGCGGGGTTTCATTAACTCACTTAGGTTCAGCATTAGGTTAAAATTGTCAGGAGGGGAAACTTGAATACAGTATTGAAAAGGGTTTGATTCAGGTATCAAATTACAGCAGATTCTCTCTCTCTCTTTTTTCCTATTCCACCCCATACCAGGCACTTGGAAGAGAGATGTTTACTGTTATTCTGCGAGCTGAGACAATAAAACACATACACTTTTTACACACATTTTAGAGTTGTAGCTCTAAAAGTAGCTTTAAAAATGTTTTAAAGAACCTGAAAATGTATTTCTTATCATTGTCTAACACTAACCTCCCCTCTGGGTATGAAGGGTGAGAAAATAGAATACTGGGCTAAATTTGAGAAATATAAATAATGTTCCAAGGTTAGTTGTCTAAATCCATGCACTGCTGCACATACTTGCTTTCTTTGGCCAGTTTGTAACACGCATCTATATTCAAATGCCTTTGTGCTAGTTAACACATGTATTAATTCTACTTACTACAACC